GATATAGAAAATCTCAAATTGGACCACACTTGACTATTAGAATATAATATCTATACACACACAAACACACACTTGTAAGTGTGTGTATATTTAAAGTTTGTTTTAATTTTTGGATTGTTTACCATTTTGGGGACCCTAAACTGGATAGAAAGGCAGCATAAAAATATTTTAAATAAATAAATATACACACTCCTAAGCAATTCTGTGCACTTTGAGGTTAACTATCAGTTTGGGGTTAACTACCAACATCCACAAGCTCAAACAGGAGCAAGCTTTAAGAACTAATACCTCCCTTCAAAGACATTCCAAAATGATATGCTTAAAAAACCTTTATTAAGGATGTTTTGCGTGATCTATAATTAAAATCCAAAAGAGATGCCTCCTCTTTTTACCAGCAACTGTGTTACATCAATTAAATGGGTAAGTAGGAGCTTTCCCCCAGAGGGGAGACCACGTGACCTTGTATTGATTAAGACTGCAGTGGAATGTTATTTGCAATCTCATTGCATAATGGAAATCAGGAAGTAGCTGTCATGGTTTCCAAAGACAAATTGCTGGTATCTGAGACAATTCATAGGCTCCTTTCCTTCTTGCAGCTCTCAATTCTCTGCTAATGCATGTTCTACAGGGATTAGTTTCTTAAATCAGTCTACTGTGCTGTCTCCAATAGTGAAAATGAGGGAAAGCTGTAATCTAGGTGATCCTGCATTAGAGAGGATGTTAAGTGACCATGATGACTATCACTGCTACTGAGCTATGTATTATTTAATAGGGTAAAAAAGACTTTTAAAAAAAGAGTAGGCAATTAAAAAGAGGTACCACAGTCAGTGTGATTATTACTTGCGAGGAGAGGGATAAAATAAGGAGCAGCTTGGGAATTTTCTTTGTAGTTTCTAAGCTTTTCTGAGCATCAAGCAGCCCAAGAATGCGTGGGAACTGCATCCTCACAACCTATCCCTTGTGCCGCTTGCTTCTGCTACCAGTTCCCTCCAGGGGTCATTTCGTGGAAAAAGAGCTAGAGGAACTCATTAGCATAACTCATTAGCATATGCCACACCCCCTGACATCAGGGGCCCGGCGGTGTACCTGCAAGGCCAGCAGGAGTGCGAGGAAGCCCCACCAAGGCCCTCCCTGGCCCCAGGCAGGCAGGGGTGGGGAGAGGCGGGGAGGAAGCAACTTACCCTCCCTCTTCTCCTGCCTCCTCCTCGCTGAATGAGGGCTGGAAGCGGGGCGGCCGGAAGCAGGGGGCGGGGCTTTGTCATGTGCTCCGCCCCCTGCACCTCACCCAGGGGAACTGCGTTCCCCCGCGTTACCCCCCGAAATGACCTCTGGTTCCCTCCACCCCACATTACACTTGTGCAAAAGCACACACATAATTGTGATGCCCCCCTCCATGGCCCAGGTATCTTCCCTTCCCCCTTACTTTCAATTTCCCAGCTCCTTCCACACTCCACAGCGGTGACAAAAAGAGTGTCCACATGGAGCTCCCCACACTCACTAGAAGAAGCCCCTTTGAACCTGAGCAAAGTAGATGTCTTTTTGATCCTGTTTAAAGGAGAAAGCCCCATTAATACCACAAGTGGTGCTAAACATGAGCTGATGTTCTCCTTTTAAAATCCCACATGGAAAAAGCCTAAGAGACAATAAATGAAAGGCCCATTGTAGAGCAGGTGCAGATATTTTACCTGTCCTGCCCTCTGAACTGTTTAAGAACATAGTATCTAACAAGAACTGTATCGTGGTGGTGGGCAGAATAAATAAGAGATAAACATTCATGCTGCTATGATGGCCAAGTGAATTCTCCATATTTCATGCATATCACAGGGATGCTGTGAAACAGTCCACTTATATTGATCAGATGTGCCTGAACCAATTGGGCTTTTGTCTTAGAGTGGGAGTTCAGGAAGATCCTCCACATTCCCCAGATCCCAGGCACTTATGAAAGAACTCAACAGGTTTATTTACATATAATACAACTTGGGCGTAGAGACCCTAACTGCAAAAACTCAGACACTACAGAGGCAGATATCCTCTCCTCCAAACATTAACTCTTTCTTAACTGTACCATTTTTTTTACTCTCTGTCACAGCACCATGATCACATGTTGTGATCACAGGAGTTAAGCATTTACTGGACTGATCAGCTCACATGCAAACAGCTCGAATGTGACTGAACAGGAATTGCCACATCTGCACATGCACAGAAATGCAAATAAGCACATACACACACACAGGCTCTGCCCCTGGCTGCCACTGCACACTATAGCCAATATTTTAAATAACAGATTTGTAAGGTCATATTTGAAACAAGGGAGGAAAAGAGGCTTTTATAACTTGGTGGTTGGTGGGCTACCTGATTTTGATTATTTGAATAGTCAATAAACTATCCAGTTCTATGGCAGTTTGCGTACTCATGTTCTTACACAGTTTCATGGGCTGTAGTACATATTCCCCAGTTGTCAGTAAAAGAATGGCCTCTGATTCAAAACTGTGGATGTTCTAACTACATGTGAAGCCTGCAGCGACAGTTAAAGTGCCTTAACAGCCTTGATCAAGGACATATTCTCTAACAACCACTGCCTAGTGAGAGTTCTCTGGGGAAGCCCTAGCTCTGCCCCAGGCAACCAATGGTGTCATGATCAAGTGTCGCTCTGATTGGCTGATTTCATATGCTGTATTTCATTGGAAAAAATGAAAAGAAAAAAGTGACAACCAGTCATGAACAATAGATACCAATTTTACAACTGCCAGTAGCAAGTGATATATCCAATACAAAGTGCAAAGAGAAGGCAGACCAACCTTAGCAACCTGACCTAACCATGACCGTGGGACAAGATTAGCAGTGAAATGCTCAGTAGAATCGCACTATCATAAGTCCATTAAAGTCCACTGGTCTACTAAGAATGGCACTGTGATTTCCCTACTGTGCAAATGCAAAAGTGGGGAAACGAAACTTACTTTGCCTAAATTGCATTGACAGCTTGAGTGGAGGGCACAATGGTTGAACAAGATATCTCTCCTGGTAATTGCATTTGCTGCAAAATTCTAAACACCCCTAATCTTGATCAGACCTGGAAACATGACGTCATGCTTTATTATGTTTGCCTCTTTGGAGGGACTGACGACCACCTATGCCCCTCTGCTAGCAAAAATAAGGATTTTACTTTAGAATCTCATGCTGTATCTGCAAGTGGTCTTTCCTCATTTTTTTATTTTGGTCTTCTTGAGCCTAAGCTGTTGACAAGATTGACCACCACAACTGACCACTGTCCATCCATCTGCCTGAAATGTACATGCATAAACTAAATCAATAGATTATTCTGATCATCCATCTTCAACGCAAACAGCAATGCCTCTCAATGGGGACAGTTCACACTCTCAAGAAGCTGAGAGTCATGAAGCATTGATCAATCAAATGATGCACATGTGAACTGTAGTCTTCACTGAAAACAAGTCCATAGCTAATGGAAAATAACTATGGCCTAATTTGTCTTGTTTTGTTTCCTGCACCAAAAAGACCTGCATGCCCATGAATAAAGATCAGGATAACAAGTGTCAGTAAGAGGCAATATCCATGGTATGTACTGAAACAATCTTGAATTCCGTGTACCATTATCTATTTACCATCCAGCAG